TTTTTTTTTTTTTTTTTGCAAAGTTCTGGCAACTCTTTGTGGACTTTTTGCTGACACCAATATTGTTGGTGGAAAGTTGATGTATTATGGATTTGCACAGATAAGGGATGAGGTATGGAAGGAAGAGATATCTGTGTGTAACTGTATAGGGGTTGAAGAGTTAACTAAATTTGTTTATACTTGCTGTGATCAAGGCTGGAAGTCACTTCTGTATATATTTTTCTTTATTATATTTTCTTTTTTCTGTTCTTTTCTTCTCTTTAAGTTTAGTTCGTATTGGTTTTTACTATTGTAATCAAAATTAATAAAAATGTTTAAAAAAGAACTTCATAATTAAGGCCTCTTAATAATTTTAATATGCTGTTTCATTCCAAAAATTGGAAAGAGTAATAAATTATTCATTAAAAATATTTCATGACCTCCTCTAACTGAAGCATAAATATTTATCTTTGTAAATGTTTTACAATTTGTCTCAGAATGACTTTTTATAAAAGAAAGACTACTCGTTTGTGCCGTTATAGCATAAGATGTGATTTTGGCGGGGGGTGGGGGATGAAAAGAAAGGCGTTTTCTGGCTTGGGAACTGTATTCTACCTTATGCATGCTATTATTTTGCACCTACACACTTTTATTGCAAATAAAACTTTCTTGCCTACTCCAGTATTTTGGATAACAGAAAATATTCAGTATTTTATCATATGTGTGCCAGATATATGGATAGTTAAGTTACTGATTTTTGTTTACATCCAGCTGTTTGCTATCTTACTGGGTTTACTGGCTAAGCACCCAATTTTAAATTGACTAATGGGCTGTATCAGATATGCTTCTATCAGTTTAGTGATGTAAAAAAAAGTGGTGGATAGGAATAGAATGAGTCTGCTCAACAGGAGTAAATTGGAAACAAATCTGCTTTTATATCTGAAAAGTTGTGCGTGTACAGAAGACATGCATGCAATTATATCTGGAATCATAAAATGTTCACTGCTAATAAGAATTTGAGTACATGAACAGATCTCTTTTTTACCTCTTGAGGTCAGTATAATTTAAGGAATAATTGTTCATTAAGCTAGGCTTAACCATATGCATATTTATTTCTTCCTGCATCAAATTTTCTGTTTGCATTCAATGTAATTTGGAATTTTCCAACCTAATGTATGTTTCAGTTATCTTACTCTGCTGTAGTTAGAAGTGGCACACATTTGATAAAGTTCTAATTTAATGGCATTATATCATTTTGTATTATGTATTTATTATGATGTGTTTATCTTGCCCCTCTTGTTGGAGCTTGACAGTACATGGGAAGTGACCTGTATTTTATTTCAGAACAATAACCTTGTGAAGTAGGATGGACCAAAAGTCATCCAGTGAGCTCCATAGTTCAGTGAGGATTTGAATATGAATCTCCTTGGTCCCATTTAACACTTTTACTATCTAAGTACATAGCCACTTGGGATATTAGTATTCGTTGCTCATATTTCATGGCTTACAACTTTCCTATTGCAGTAATAGGTGCTTTTAATTTTATCTTGAATTAGGCCAAATTTTCCAGAACTTACAATGCTGTAATACGATCTGTGGGAAAAGTTCAACTAAAATTAAGCATTTTTAAACTTAATTTAGAGAGTATTGGATCTTAAGTATTTAACTGGCTGTACTGTGCCAAGAAATCCAGATGTAGTTAAATCCACATTTTATCAAACTGTAATACTTTTATTTACATAAATACTGGCAGCCTATGTTAAAATCTCATCATAGCTTGGGCTTCCAGTGGTCAGGACCAGGAATTAACATTCTGTATGTGATCCTGAGTACATATATGTGAGTTCATTTTTAACATGATATACTAGCTATTTGTAGTTTTGCAAATAAAACCCTTCTGGCATAGGTGCCCCTGGACAAAACAGAGTTCCCTCCAAACTTAGAAAGAAATCTGTGACCTTGAGGAGAAAGCTCTGACCTTAGAAATCTGCACTGAGACAGTCCACAGGCCTGTTTTTTTCAGACATGGGAAACTTTAATGTTGGAAAGAGAAAGAAAATGGAGCTGGGCAGGATGAATTTGAAAGATCAGATCTTCCTAGTGATACTCTGTGTCCCTGACATATGGACATAGGGCAGCTGTTGAGATGGTCAACATGATTTGCCAAGAAACACCAGAGAGAGATAATGGAGAAACCCAAAAGTCTCTGCCCTCACTTCTGTCCTTGCAGTTTCAGCCTAGCAGGACATTGTGTCTTGAAAGGGCTGATGTCAAAGCCCACCATGACAAAAGTTTTGAATTAAAATGTATGGGCAGAGTAAACATTTCTTTACTGGAAGTGAGAATATTTATTCATGCAAGTTAAAATAGTATTTCTTAATTTACCTATATATCCTGTGAATAAATTTTAACAATATTTGAGATTCATCAGCTTTAAGGAGGAGTTTTCCCATAGTGAGGTTGGGTTTCACATTGCTATTTAACTGAGCCAAAGTCTGCTCAACTTTGTGACAGCTGAAAGCAAATGTTTTGTAAATACTTCAGTGAGCATTTGTTTAACTGCCATAAGGATTTTATTTCCAGGAAAAGGTGGTGATTATTTTAATAATGTATTTGCCAGCTTGAAGTATTTGTTACTTAGCACTCTAGTGCTGTAATGGTAAACCTCTGTTCTTTTAAACTTTGCTAGAGTGTCACTGCAGTTTCAGCTGAAGCGATTGACTTTGCCAAACATTGTAAATATTGATAGGCCTCTATGAATAGGCTGAGTGATATATATTTATGGAATTCATTCGGTTATTTAGCAAAACAGAGATTAATAAGCAATGTAACTGCTTTTCATTTTTTTCCAGTTTTTCACAGCTTTATGTATTTTAATCTACTTGTCCCACACTGACTTTTCTGGGTTTTTTTCAACCGTAATGCTCTGCTCCTAGTAGTGTGCTCAAATATTTTTTTTATAGCAATAGCTCTTTAATGAAGTACACAAGACTGAATAACTTCTGCTGTGACTGTGAATGCACTAAAATGTTTTTCCCATTTGATAATTACTTCTGTAAATCGGCTGAATCTTATGATACAATAGCATTAAACATAAGAGTAAAAACCAGTAAGCATAAAATGAAAACACTACATATCTAAAATTAATTTACTCAAGTTTACTTATTATATGCAAGCTTAAA